TCCTGAGAAACCGAAACACTGACTTCCACAGTGGTTGCACAAGATTGCATTCCCACCAGCAATGGATGAGGGTACCCCTTCCTCCACAGCCCCTCCAGCAAAGGCTATCCTTGGTGTTTTTGACTTTAGCCATTCTGACAGGTATAAGATGATATCTCAAAGTTGTTTTGATTTGTATTTCCCTGATTGCTAAGGAAGTTGAGCATGACCTTAAGTGTCTTTTGGCCATTTGAACTTCTTCTGTTGAGAATTCTCTGTTCAGTTCAGTGCCCCATTTTTTAATTGGGTTAATTAGCATTTTAAAGTCTAGTTTCTCGAGTTCTCTATATATTTTGGAGATCAGACCTTTGTCTGTTGCGGGGTTGGTGAAGATCTTCTCCCAGTCAGTAGGTTGCCTTTGTGTCTTAGTGACAGTGTCCTTTGCTTTACAGAAGCTTCTCAGTTTAAGTAGGTCCCATTTATTCAATGTTGCCCTTAATGTCTGTGCTTCTGGGGTTATACATAGGAAGCGATCTCCTGTGCCCATCTGTTGTAGGGTATTTCCCACTTTCTCTTCTATCAGGTTCAGTGTGTTCGGACTGATATTGAGGTCTTTAATCCATTTGGACTTGAGTTTTGTGCACGGTGATAGATATGGGTCTATTTTCATTCTTCTACAGGTTGACATCCAGTTGTGCCAGCACCATTTGTTGAAGATGCTTTCTTTCTTCCATTGTATACTTTTAGCTCCTTTATCGAAAATGAGGTGTTCATAGGTTTGTGGGATAAAATCCGGGTCTTCTATACAATTCCATTGGTCGACTTCTCTGTTTTTATGCCAGCACCACACTGTTTTCATTACTGTAGCTCTGTAATAGAGTTTGAAGTCAGGGATGGTAATGCCTCCAGAAGATCCTTTATTGTATAGGATTGTTTTGGCTATCTTGGGTGTTTTGTTTTTCCATATAAAGTTGATTATCGTCCTCTCCAGATCTGTGAAGAATTTTGATGGGATCTTGATGGGGATTGCATTGAATCTATAAATTGCCTTTGGTAGAATTACCATTTTTACTATGTTGATCCTCCCAATCCAAGAGCAAGGGAGGTCCATCCATTTTTTGGTAGATTCTTGACTTTTATAGTATACCCGCTGACAGATTACTTCATTCTCCTGAACTCTGTGTGTCCATCTGACTTATTTGGAGATGTGGATTTGCAATGGAAGCTACACCCAAGTCTCTTGGATAATGCAGGTTTTTTTCTAAGCATTTCACCACCAGTGGTGTAGAAAACACTTACCTCTAAGCAGAGAAGAATTTGTGTATTCACCTCTCCAGTCATTGCTCCTCTACAGACTCGAGTCTATTCTCTTGGGAATCCGTGGTATGTATCTAAATGTAGGATAATGCATGCACTCCCATATCCCAGGTGGTTGCCGATGTACACTAGGCTGGGAAAGTCCTTTCATTTGACCTATTCACCTGGGCTGGAGGGTATAAATTTTAGATGTGGAACAGAAGTGTGTTGAACAGGGGGCAGAAAGTGGGACGTATTCTTAATTCGCTGTTCTTAAGCAGCTCTGGACTTTGATATCTAAGCCTGGAACTTTATATTTGTTTTTATTGTGGAGCTTAAAGCATGGTTCTCTTTGTTTTCCTAGCTGGAAACCTTGAAGATGATATATTGAGTCTGCATCTGAGATTTAGGAAGAGAGCCTGGCTTTTGTATTTAGTAGTAATTGACATGTAAGAAGACATGCAAGTGTGCTGTTTTTAATCATTCACAATTCCTTGTCCCTTGCCATAATTCATGTAACTAACATTTATTCAAAGATTTACTACCACTAAGAGGCAAAGTGTTATCAGGCCTCTCTGAAAGTGTGTGACAGTTTCACCCATCAGGAAGCATTCCCTAAGTCACCTTCCTTCCAATCAGTAATAACACTGCTTCCACTGTTCATCCTCCTGCCAAGAATGTCTTTAGAGTCCTGACACTGTTCAAAATTTCCCTATACGTGCTATCTGCCTGCACCATTTAAGAGCTCTAGTCATACATGGGTTAAGCCACCATTCTAAAAAAAATCTGTTACCAAATTCTTCTTGCCACATGGCCAGGTTGTCTTATATTTGTCCGCTCAACTCCCTAACCCAAACCCCCTTTCTCTTGCTTTCCCAATCTAAAGGGTAGCATCCCATTGAAGTGTTAGTCTAATTAATCTTAATCAATAAAAACCAGGAGTCAGAAATCAGGGTAAAAACCTGGAAGATCAAAGAACTAGGAGCAACTAACAGTTGCTTCCTTCCTGTCTCCCCCAAAAGGACTCAGATCCTGTCTACACTCCTCCTTATCACTTCCCATCTCCACCTCCTGAGTGCTGGGATTAGAGGTGTGCCACCACTGCCAGGCTTCTGGGCTAGCTCTGCCATCTCATCTTCAGGCAAGCTTTATTTATCAGAACACAAAATATTGCACAACATCCCTTCCTCTGCCTCATGATTGGCCAAACTAGAAAATGTGTTTTTACCACTCCGCAGAAATCCCCTCTAGTTGACCATAATGCAGGCCTGTGAACTCAAGGCCAACCTGCACTACACTTTGTTCCAAAAACAAAATAAAACCAAGGATTGTGGTTCATTAAAGCCCTGACCTAGCATGAGCCCTTTTCCTGATGTATGATGTAGTGTGTCATTGACTTATAAATCAAGAAATGACGAAGAATATAGAATTTATTGTTCTTAAACAGTCTCTCTCTTACTATTTGATTGTTTGGACACTTTAACAAGTTACATGACTTCTAGTGCATAGCCTTGAATGGTTTCTTATAAACAAGTTTTACACCTTCTGTATTTTTATGTCTATGCATAAATTTTGATCATACACCAGATGTTAAATGTTTGATGGTGGTTGTACGCACTTTTAATTCCAGCAGTGGGTTTCACAGAGAAGCCATGTCTAGGGGGGAAGAGATTTGTTTATTATGAAGTTTTGATTTAACCTCTTTATCGTGTGTAATATATAAAGTGATAATGTGATTATCATAGAAGAATAAAACAACCCAGAAAAAATGAATTCCAGAATTAATTGTTGCTACTTTTAGCTAGGCCTTAATCATGACTCTGAAAGAACTATTAGAATTTTATAAATTCTTTTGCAAGGCTACTTGGAAAAGCATTGAGCATTGGGATGAGTGCATTGGGCTGTGAACAGTAAAGCAGCTGCTACTGCCTTGCTTTATCAGTGTTCCCTTCCACTCAGTGTGCTTGGGGTTTGGGTGTGAAAGGGTCACATTCATCTCTCAGTTAAGGCCCACTTCTAGAGTTAAGCAAGTTCATTGCTTATCAGTAGCCCTGCTTTTCACTTCTTTGTTTCTAAGTATATTTTTTGTTCCTTTTGGAGTGGTTAAGGTTTCATTGAGATACTTTTAAAGGAACATGTTGGGGTTTGTTGTTGTTGTTTTTCGAGACAGGGTTTCTTTATAGCTTTTTGGAGCTTGTCCTGGAACTAATTCTTGTAGACCAGGCTGGCCTTGAACTCACAAAGATCTGACTGCCTCTGCCTCCTCCGAGTGCTGGGATTAAAGGCATGCACCACTACTGACTGGTGTTTTAATTATTTTTTATTTTATGTGCATTGGTGTTTTGCCATGGGTGTCAAGTTTCCTGGAACTGAAGTTACAGGCAGCTGTGAGCTGCATTGTGGGTGCTATGAATTGAACCCCGGACCTCTGGAAGAACAGTCAGTACTCTCAACCACTAAGCCATCTCCCCAGCCCCTACACATGGATTTACATGGCTTCTTGGGTCTTATATTTTGTAGTAAGCACTATGCTGACTATGCTATTTCTGCAGTCTCATCTTTTTCTTTTCTTTTTGTTGTTTTGTTTGTTTTGAGACAGGGTCTCTATATAGCCCTGGTGTCCTGGAACTCACTGTATGTGTAATCCAGACTGGCCTCAAATTCAGAGAGATCCTCCTGCCTCTGCCTCTGCCTCCTGAGGACTGGGATTGCAGGTGTGTGTTACCACACCGACCCCACCTCTCACATTTTTTTTCTTTTTTCTTTTTTGTTTTTTGGTTTTTCGAGACAGGGTTTCTCCGTAGCTTTTGGTTCCTGTCCTGGAACTAGCTCTTGTAGACCAGGCTGGCCTCGAACTCACAGAGATTTCTGCCTCCCATTTTAAAGAAGCAACGATCTCTTTATCTCCGAGGAGAATACAGTAAGAACTGTCTTTGTTAAGAGACAGTGAGTAGAGAGAGTGGGGTGAAAGGATAGTGTAGAAAAGCTGAATTTCCGAGAAATCAGCCTCATAAGGTGGCAGCTCCAGTGCGTCTTGTTCCTTGTTTTAAGTGTGCAGTGCTTCCTGAGTTTGCAGCCGTGAGCAAGGCCTCCCTAAGCCACGCCCATTTCAGTTTTAGTTCACGTGCTGCTGAAGGGAAGAATGTACTTTTAAAATTAAGCAGGTAGCTTTTAAAATTAAGTAATAGCCCTTTGTATTTCATTTGTTCACTAAGATATAAGCTGACGAGTGAGATTCTGTCGTACCTTTTAGGTGATTCAACAGTGAGGAGAAAGTTATAACACCAGCGTGGCCAACTCCTGCCTGCAAGGTGTGCTGTGAGCCACGTGATGCACGGATGTTTGAAGTGTATTTTTCTAACTCTTCAACACTAAATCACTGACATGGTTGCTGATTTTATTTCAAAAACCACTTTTATTCATGTTAGGTGAATGTGGAAACCAGAAATAGATTTATTACTAAATCTGTTTCATCCCAGACCTCCGAGACTAAGCAGTGTTTAGCTTAGAAAACGTTCCATCTTTATCGGTCCAGTGTGATCCTGCAGGAGCTATAGTGTTGCACAGCATAAAAGGTTTTGTCCAGTGAATCTTCCCTTAATCACTTGTTTAATATATTGGGGAAAATAGTTAATATATCTGGGCACAGTATAATGTAATATCCTTCTTTTCCTTCTTCGTTTCTCCTTTCCTTTCCTTTCCTTTCCTTTTTTCTTTTTTACCAGAAGAGAGAAAAATTACACGATGAAGAGGAAAAAAAAAGTGCCTGGGTTAGCCAAGAGAGACAGAGGACCCTGGATAGACTTAGAACATTTAAGCAGGTAATAGAAACACTCGATTGGTTTTTCACTGCTTTTCAGAGAGAGCCATACTATAGTCCTATTATAAGATTTCCGTTTAAAATTACTCCAATCTTAGTAGTGTGATCGGTTCCCTTTCTTGTGGCTGAGTCTGACAGTAATGTTCTTTTACCCCTGGTGTGCTGCTTCAGGAATGTAAAGAATGGAGAGAGTAGATTGTCAAGAAAACCTGGATTCTTTTGAATAAAAAAATGTTGATATTATGAACTTTATTGCACTCTCCCCCTTCTGTCATAAAATTGTGACCAGGCATTTTTTAAGGTGCCTTGTTGTACCCCCTAAAGTTTTAACTTTTTTTATATAAGTATTTGAAAATAAACTATAGTTTCTTAGTTTCTTGCTAAGTACCAGTAAATATGCAAATATATGTATATTTGATCCTGTTTGTCTTGAGTTTTATATACAATTTTTTTCCATTGAAGACTTAAAGTCATTTGACTAGTTTTCTTGTTTGTGTTGTATATGGTCTTGCTATAGCCTTGGCTAAACTGGAATGTATATAGACCAGGCTAGCCTTAAACACATAGCTATCCACCTCCTCTGTCTCTTAAATGCTTGGAATAAAGGCAGGTGCATCAGCAAGCCCTGAATGTGGCATTGCTAAGCAGCTGGGTAAGAGGGCAGAAGGGTTTGACAGCGGGCAATAAAAGAGGTGGTGAGAATTGTTTAAAGGTATTGAAAGGGTATGCAAGGGTTTTCTAGTTTTTCTGTTGGCTTTTTTCTTGTCCCTTGGAAAAAGTTAGAAAAGAGTCAAAATAATAACATTCTGTTAAAGGGAGAAATAACTAAGCATTTGTTGGCAAATTATTTTAATATACTCATACAATAACTTTGATATTTTAGAGGTACCCTGGGCAAGTCATCCTTAAATCAACAAGATTAAGAGTGGCTCATGCGAGGAGAAAAAGTACAGCAAGTCCTGGGCCCTGTGAGGAGCAGTGTGACTCTCTACCCGGAGAGCTGCAGGGAGAGAAGACTGAAGTGGGAGAAGGAAGAAGCAAGCTTGGGTCTTCACAGACAGCAGAACCCCAGAGCCTTGTCCATCTTGAAGACACTTCATCAGTACAACTTGAAGCCCCTTCATTACCTCCCAGTGCTGTTACCTCTGAACTGCCTCCACCCTCATCACTTCCACTTCTGACCAGTAATGACCTCAAACCATGTTCTGCTGCAGCAGATCCACTCCCACCCCCTCTCCCTCCAACACCTCCCCCTCCCCCTCCACCCCCGCCTCCACCTCTGCCTGTTGCAAAGGACAATGGTGCCACCACCACTTCAGAGACACTGGAGAAAGATGCACTTAGAAAGGAGGGCTGTGAGAAGAGGATCCCAAAGTCAGCCAGCGCCCCCTCAGCGCAGCTCTTCGACAGCAGCCAGCTGGTCAGTGCCCGGAAGAAGCTCCGGAAGACAGCTGATGGTTTGCAACGGAGGAGAGGTGAGCGAACAGGACCTAGAGAAGTCTTAGGAACTCAGCAATTGTTTACAAATTTATACCTTCTCTTAAGCTGTTAGGCGTGGTTTTTTTGTTTGTTTTTTGTTTTCTTCCAGACAGGGTTTTTCTGTAGGTTTGGAGCCTGTCCCAGAATTAACTAGCTCTTATAGACCAGGCTAGCCTCGATCTTACAGAGATCTGCCTGCCTCCCAAGTGCTGGGATTAAAGGTGTGTACCATCACCGCCCAGCTACACAGGTTTTTAAAATATCCAAGTGACATTTGGCCTATTTGTTAGGTAGCACTTTTTGTGTGAGGAAAAACAAATCTGACTTTTAACTTGAATGGTAAACTGTTGTGACTAGGGAGTCTGGCTTAGTGGTGGAGCTCATATGCTATTTTATGACAATGATATCATTTGTAAGAAAGGGCATGAAGCCATTAACAACATCATATATTTGGTCACAGTTTAGTATTGAAGACTTAAGAGTGTTCTTCATATAAAAAGACAATTCTTTTTTCAGAGCAGGAAGTTCTGTGCAACTTACTACATGTCAGTGTGCCTCAGTGAAGTTCCCTCTAAGTAACTTTTCTTGCCTTTGAGGGACTTTCAGTTTGCATGAGGCAAATAATACAGAGCATCTTGCTATCACATATTAACCTGAGAATATTCTGTAAAGTACTTCATACCACAATCTGAACAGAATCTCATGTGAAACAACTAAATGAAAAAGCACAGCGACAGTGAACCAGCATTAAATTGTGTGTGGGGGACTGTGGGTGTATGTGTATGTTTGTGTTAGATGCATATGTACTCAGTTTTTCATGTTGAGCCAGTCAATTTGAGTATCTTACCCAACTGCTCTCTGCCTTACTTTTTGAGACAGGGTCTCTCACTGAACCTGGAGGTTACCATTTCAGCTTGACTAGGTAGCCAGTAGCCCCACGTCAACCCCATTAGGCTCCACCTGTCACCATGCACTTCCCAAGCACTGGAATTACAGGTATGCACTGCTGTGTCCAGCTTTTATATGGATGCTGGGAATTTAAACTCAGATGCTCATCTTCCAACTCCATTTTTTTTTTAAAGCCAGGTGGTAGCAGTGCACACCTTTAATCCCAGCACTTAGGAAGCAGAGGCAGGCGGATCTCCATGAGTTCAAGGCTAGCCTGGCCTACAGAGCAAGTTTCTGAACAACCAGGGATACACACAGAGAGACCCTATCTTGAAAACAAATGAATAAATAAATTAGTTAAAAAATTAATCACTGTCTTACCTTGGGCTCGTGGTGGGTGCAATATGGGAGTCCTTTGGGAATCTCAGCTTTCATATCAAGACCATCTCCCCACTTGTATTAGCGGTCACAAAGTTTGACTAACTCTGTTTGTTTTGTCTTCCAAAGTGAGTTCGCCCATGGATGAGGTGTTAGCATCTTTGAAGCGTGGTAGTTTTCATCTGAAAAAGGTTGAACAGCGGACTCTGCCTCCTTTTCCTGATGAAGATGATAGTAACAATATCTTGGCGCAAATAAGGAAAGGGGTAAAATTGAAGAAGGTTCAGAAGGAAGTTCTGAGAGAATCCTTCACACTTCTGCCTGATACAGACCCTTTGACACGGAGCATCCATGAAGCTCTAAGAAGAATTAAAGAAGCATCCCCAGAGTCAGAGGACGAGGAGGAGTCTTTACCTTGCACAGACTGGGAGAACTAGCAGGTAAATGACCCGCTGTCTTCAGCAGCACGAGCCAGCGATCCAGCTGTAGCGGGTCTTGTTCTCTGTGGCTGTTCATCATATGACGCAGCTGTGGTCTCCCTGACAGTGTGCTAGGAATCCATTTCAGGTCCTCTTGCAGGGTGCCAAGAGTTCTTAGTCATTAAGCCATTTCTCCAGCCCCAGAAAGCACTTTTAAAGGGCAATGGCTATGTAAATACTATGCAGCAGGTCATTTTTTTCTGTTTTGCTCATTTAAAAAAACCTACAGTATAGCTATATTCCAAGAAAAGAGGCAGTCTTATTTGTTTTTTTGTTTGTTTGTTTGTTTGTTTGTTTTTGGTTTTTCGAGACAGGGTTTCTCTGTAGCTTTAGAGCCTGTCCTGGAACTAGCTCTTGTAGACCAGGCTGGCCTCGAACTCACAGAGATCCGCCTGCCTCTGCCTCCCGAGTGCTGGGATTAAAGGCGTGCGCCACCACCGCCCGGCTTAGGCAGTCTTATTTGTATCTTGAACAGATTTTTAAACTTTTTTTAAACAGATTTTTCAGCCTTTTTAACTGAACTACTTAAAGTAGGCATATTAAAATTTGATAATTTTGCTGCCTGTAATTACATAGCTTTATAAATACTTAAAATGTTCAGTCACACTGCTGTTTCTTTGTTATCTTTAATAAGCAGCTCCATTTATAAATATGAACACTTGAGTCCTGCACAGTAAGATTGTATTTGGTTACATATATGTATTCTAATATTTGCAGTCTGCTGCTTGCTTACATATCTCTTTTCTTTTTTAAAAAAAAAAAATAGGGTCTCACCATGCAGCTTTAGCTGGTCTAGAACTGTATAGATAGGTCAGGCTAGTCTTGCCTCTGTCTCCCTGAGTGCTGGAATTATAAAGGTGCATACCACCAAGCCCTCTGCTGCTTTTAAATGGCACAAATTACACTATGTTGAAAAGAATAAAGTGGTTATGGCATATGCTGTAAGTTACGCAGTGGTTTCAGCAAAGTGTACAGAGCATGTGACATGTTCTGGTCTCTGATAGACTTTATGATATTTAGCAAAAGAGGAAGACTTAACTAGACTTGGCCGTGCAGTTCTGCAATACCCAGGCAATGATCAGGAAGTAGAGGCAGGAGGAGCATGACTTTAATGACAGTTATGATTGCATATTAAACAGGAAAGCAGCCCCTCCAAAAGGGAACACTCTAGAGGGGATATATACAAGATAGCTTATTTCTTAAAGACGGGTATGCTGGCATACACCTTTAATCTCAGTACTCAGCGACAGTTGCATGAGGATCTGTGTGAGTTCAGTCCAGCTTGGTCTACAGATCTCCAGGACAGCCCAGAATACAGAAAGACCCCATCTCAGGGGAGGAGCCGGGGAGAGCTTATTTGTAAATGATTTTCTAGCAGAGATATATCCAGGATAATTACCTTTGGATGGGAGGGTATGCGGTGATCCCTGATCATGTATGATCTTAAGAATAGCTTAAGGGAATTACTGAAGAGTGGATTTCTGCCTTTGACTCTGAATCTAAATGTTTATTTAATGTATACTCAAGCACACATGGATTTTGAAGACTTGGCACAGTAAAATAGGAATTGGTCAAATAAAGAGTTAATATTAAAAGTACCTCCACCTTTTCCTGTGAGCCTAGGAAATGAGGAAATGTCAGGCACCTCTTTCCGTGGCTCTGCCTCAAGCTTCAAAGGCACGGTTTCTATCATAGTCTCTATAATATGTGTTGACTCTGATTGGCCTTTTCCTTTACTACTGCTCTGTGCAGTGATGTTCAGTCATCTTGCTTACTTCATAGGTAAACATTAGTCTTTATTTTCCTCTAAGAAATGTAAAGGAGTGTAATTAATATCAGTCTATCTAACTAATAGGCTATATTCAGACTCATGTCGTCTTCCAAGGGCCTTTTCCATAGCAGATACTTGCACATTATCTCCCTCTTTACTGTTCTTGCCCCTCTGTGTTGTTCCTGCTTGTAGCTTCCCCTGCTCTCTGTTCCTCGCCCAGTCACGGTCCTTCCCTGCAGCAGCTCAGGTCAGCATTTCCGTGCTTGTCTTTTCCATCCCACAAGGTCTTGCCTGACACACACGACAGACAGCATCATTTTGTGTAGCTAAGCTGAAGTGGATCCTATGTCTGGGCACTGATTGAGAGAGTGGGAGGGGCTGATAGTTCTTCAGTGTTGAAAGAAAACCAGGAAACGCTCAGGAGATGTATGACCTGGAACTTTCGCATTTGCATTTAAAAGATAAATGTATGTTCTCATCATCCTGTTGAGCCTCCCTGCAGACAGCTGTGGCTGACAGTAGCCCTGTGTGGCTCTAAGCATGAGGGAAAGGAATACCATGTAACAGTGGAAAGAGATGCGAGGCATAAATTTCTTTTCAAGAAAACTGATGGTGGTCCTGTTTCAAAGGTAAAAAAGGATATATGAAATTGATTTTTTATATGACAAAGATGGTTCCTTTCCATATACAGTGGCCATAAAGTTGTGAAATAGTATGCCTCTGTGCACGCGGCCTCTGTAGGCTCTTTCAGGGCTTTCAATCCCAGACTTTGAGTCTAAGTCAGTCTAATAGCGCATCTCAGTGAGTTAGCCTATCAAAACGAAATGTTCTTATTGGAAAACGGTTTTGTTTGAGCTTTTTAATCTAAAAACTAGAAGATATTTTCTCACTCACACTAGCTGTGTTTCAAGACCTCAGTACCATGTGTAGCTTCACGAGTAGAAAACACAGAACTATAATACAGAACGTCGTGCTTTTTTCTCCCATCTATATAAAGAATAAAGGTCTGAGGGGACAAGCATATACCTACCTGTAAGAGGTATCTTATTCTAACACGTTGTGTTACTTTCTTTACATACAGGTGACTTAACAGAAAGAAGAAAAATACCCACGGATTAAGACTGGTTCTCATTCTTTTGGGAAAAAGTTTAATCTCTTGGTCCCAAAATTGAATTCCATTAGTTGCTGAGTATGAAAAAAGAAGCACAATTGGAGGATATTACTGTCCAGTCACTCTCGCTGGTAGTGGTGACGTCAGTTTTCTATGTGCAATGTTCCTGACTGCCTTGCGAAGGCCTCCTGGAGACAGACGGCTGCTCCTTACACACCTCTTCCCGCCCACCCTTTCACAACCTCATGGTGGCCAATTACACTAGGGGTCACTGAATTAGAAGAACCCTGGGTTGGCAGAGTTCTACTGTGTGAGCTGCTTTGGGAGTCATCTTTCAGTGCACCGAGAAGATATCTGCTGAAGCTCAGCTGCTTCCACATCAGCTTCTAGAACTAGAGTGACATGCTGAAGAAGGCATTTATCATGGTAGTCACAGTCAGGAATGAAAAGAAAACAACATGGAGCGCACTTAAAAATCCCCACATTTTTTCATCTCCAGAGATGTTCAGTGTCTGAGAAGCCAGTGGAGATAGACCTAGTAATGTGTGCACCAAAACACAACACATTTAATAAGGCATATTTTTAAGAGGCCACAGTCTTACATTTTGTAAGAGTTTGAAGTTAAAATTTCCATGCTTTTAAAATAGCATTTCATAATTCTGAATTTAGAATAGTTTGAATTTTATGTGCACCCTGTTTATGAGAAGCAGTTCTTCGTAATTTGATAATGTTTCAAATTATTTTTAGTCTTTTTGTTTGAACTACTGCTTGATTACTGTAACTCATGACTTTCCTATTGAGAATCAAAAATCAGGATTCAACAGTGGGGTTACAGATGACAGCTGTTTGTATCCTGCACCAGTTCTAGGTTCTTATTGTTATGATCCATGGTGAAGAGCATGTGTTCAGTAGAGGTCCAGAAGGCAGCCATTCCCCAAAACCCGCAGCTGGCATTTCACTATTTTCTTATGCTTCGGATAGAACATTAGGATAGCATTCGTTGCTGTCACCAAATCTTGAAACTTACGTACATAGTTGTAGGGCTGACTTAGCTGTATCATACAGGGTCCATTTATGAATGGAGCTGTCATGGATTGTCAATGGGATTTGTGGACCTGCTTGAAAGTAGATATGCTGGCCCCAGTTTACAGCACGGTGTAGTGTGTGCTAATGATGGAGACAGATCTTGGCTTTATAAGGAGGGATTGAAATACCAAAAAGAACTTCATTCCCAGAAAGTTCTTCCCCAGCTTAGCCCAGAAACCACCCTGCAGTGAGAGCTCGCCATTGTCCACAATGGCTTCCTCCAGAAACACAGCTTTTCTTGTCAATACTGAGAGATATTTTTCTTTAATTATGGAAAAAAAAAATTCTGGTAGCAGGTTAAAGTAAACCAAATCTTTGCACTTGAATATTCGTAGCATGTTTATTGATGAGACTGGGAGCTTTTGTAACCTTTTATTTATTGGTTTTAGTCCTAGCACAATTCCCACATCTTGTCCAGAAGAATTAAAATAGCTCCGATGTACAAACCTCACCCCAGGATGATGTGTGGGTCCTTCATACCCAAAGATCCATTGGCTAGATAAAAATATCTGAAAAATTGCAAAGTTTACAAACTTTGTAAAAGTCACCCATCATCTATGCACTTCTAATATTAAATATCCATGTATCAGTATTCTACACTGGTTTTTTTACTTTTAACATTTTTAACTGATTTATTTTGTGTGCATTGGTGTGAAGGTGATAAATTCCCTGGAGCCAGTTATAGACAGTTGTGAGCTATCATGTGGGTGCTGGGAATTGAACCCAGGTCCTCTGGAAGAGCAGCCATTGCTGTTAACCACTGAGCCATCTCCCGAGCTTTTATTCACTTTTGATACTGGTCTTGCTCTGGAGCCCTGGCTGGCCTAGGACTTGCCGTGCAGACTGGATCCGCAGCATTCGTCCTGCCCTTGTCCTCCCAGTGCTAGGTAGGACCGCAGCTGGCGGCCAAGATAAGGTTGGCTGCGGTTTTGTTTTTGTGTGGTTTTTTTTGTTTTTAAAGTTTCATTTTTTAAAAAATTATTTTAAGTATGTATGTCCAAGAGGCTCTTGCCTGGAGCTAGATTTACAGACTCCCCCTCACATGGTTGCTGGGAATCAAACTTGGATCCTCTGAAGGAACAGTGCATGCTCTTAATCCCTCAGCTATCTCTACAGCCCGTTTTTTTTTAAACTTTAGGAAAATATGGACTATAACATTAAATTAACAACAGCCATTGTGTTGTAGTCAGTCTTGGCATCAAACTCCTGGCCTTTTAGGTGGGAAAGCAGGGAATCATGAGCAGCTCTCAGTACATCCTGTCTTAGCTCTCCAGGAATGACTTCATTCTTGACAATCCACAGCTACAGCACGGAGCCTTCAGCCCATTTTGAATGCCAGTTTCTCTGTCTCAGGTTTTGTACTGGAGTGTGGTTCAGAGTAGAGTTCAAGACCTTATGTTCCGTCAGTAGTGTTGCTTCCTAACCTCCAAGGAAAGATTTCTGCTTAAAGAATTATGCCACTGTTTTTACAGTAACACAAAGTAATTAGCATACAGGTGTTCGAGAAATCACTAGGTGAACCCACATTAGTTTAAAGTGGATTTAGAGCCCCAGAAAAATGATGAGCATGTTTTTGTTCCTCTATCTTAGTTTCCTAAACAATAATAAAGGGTTTGGATGAAGTCAGTGGACCCGAAGTGATGAGCTCTGGCCTTCACAGTGCATTCGTATGTTTAGTTGTCGCTTAGTGCTCCCAGTTCCCGGTCTGCTTGTACAGCTAGACTCCTGCTGTCATTCCTGTCCACAGACCCTGTTTGTTTGTGCTCTTCCCAAATACGGTATAGCCAATAGATCGCTTGGGGACACTAATGTTCATACTTGAATGTCAAGTCCAAATATTCCCTCAATACAACCAAAATTGTGTCTAATAGCCAATGTAGTATGTATAGAAAAGGAATATCTCATGATTTAAATGCTAATTGTATTTTAGCATAAGAAAGTGCTGGAAAATAATAAGGACTTCTAGGGGATATGCAATGCCCTTTATAGGGGCTATTGAGTGTAAAGAGTGCTTTATAGGTAGGGCATGGAGTTCATTAAAAACAATCATTCCTTAGGTGTTCATTGTGCACTCGGAATTTTTTTTTTTTCTTTTCCTAGGACAGGGTTTCTCTGTGTAGCCCTGGCTGTCCTGGAACTCAGTAGAATCAGGCTGGCCTTGTACTCAGGGATCCACCTGTCTGCCTTCCTTTTAAGAGTGCTTCAAATCCCATTTTTAAAAACATAGTGTTGTGGTGGCCTTTCCTAAAATGAACACTTGGTGGAGTGTGTGTGCCCACAGAATATCATAGAAAGTGCTAAGTGCATCATGGAAACCACACACTAAGAATCTAACGTTCAGTGAGATGCAGCCTTGTATGCAGCATCCATGCCACACAGGGATGCTCACAGTGATGCAGTCGCATCTCTATCCTCACAGGATGTATTTATTTAAACCATTGCTTTTAACCTAGCTTTGTAATACGCTCATCACCAGAAACCAACCTGCAAAATGACTTTGGGTCTTAAGCAGACCTTTCAGGGAGTTTTGAGTTATACTTTTACCAGGTAGAGGAGAGTGAGTAAATTCTGAGCAACTGCAGAACAATTGGACAGTTGCAGACAGCTTACGATGCCATTTGGCAGGAGAAGTGGAGACCTTTAGTTTTCCCTCATTTTTGCACTGAATATATGATGATATAAAGCTAAATGTGCATATTAAACTTTTTATTTGTGCTTGGTGTTGCCAGTGACCATCAAGACTTCTTTAGATGGAAGAGGTGAAAAAACAGAAGCACCTTACCGTTCAGCATACAGCACTTATGTCTTGCTACTAAATCCATCAGTAGTCATGCCTGAACTTTCCTTTTTTGTTAAAGCACATTAAAATTCTGCCTAATTGCTTTGTAAAGTGAAGCAATGGTATTTTTATCCTATAAATATAATGTAACTTAAAAAGTTTTCATACAAATGAGTTTATATCATTATCTAAATTGTCATGTATTTAAACAGAAGTTTTTTAAAATGGGAGGCAGTCCTGACCCAGAGAGAGAGAGAGAGAATGAGAGAGAGAGAATGTGTGTCTACTTAATGTCCTGTGAGTTATGTTACAGATGCTCTTATTGTAAATTTTCGTTTTGCCCACAGTGATGCACAGCTGGGCATTTGTATGATTGGATTCCAAATTTAGAAATGTTCCCTGTCTTCAAAGCGCTACTGGGTTACTGCTAGGTGCGTGTACAGAAGATACCTCTGAGGCGGACATGCTAAGCGTTCTTCATGGATGCTGTTTCACACTGACTCGAAAGCAATCATTTGTTTTGAGAGGAAGGGGAAGTTTCATTTCTTGTTTGTTTTTGTAGGTACAGTTAAAAGTGGCTCAGAAAGTATGTAGGAAAAACCTTGAGAAGTTTAAAAGCAAAAGGTCTGTATGTTGAGTTGAGTTTTAACGGGAGGAAACATTTTTACTTGCATGTTGTATAGTTAACTATCAAAGGGTGCAATGCGTTGTTTTAGGTTTCTCCTTGCAAAGTCCATCGTCCTTGCTCCAGTCCTCGCCGTTAACAGTGGCATTCCCTCTCTTGTGATTTCTCTTCATTTGTGTGATGTTACAAAGGTTGGACGGTGCAGCCCATAACAGTGACACACAGTGTCTCTGACACAGCCCCACTGCCTTGTTGAATCTCTCTGTACCGTATGCATTGCCAAGTGTGAAACCACAATATGTAGTTTATTGAGAAACGGAAGGCTGCAGATCATTTTGCATGAGTAAAGCCCATTGGGGCTAAGAAACTGACACTTCTTTTCACCTGTTTTGGGTATATGAAAATTACAGTGGCAAACTGACTCAGCACTATCAGCTTTGTGCAATGTTATAAAGGCAGAAGCAAAACACTAGTGCACTGTGCTTGGCTTTGCAGGATGACTTTCCCATCATTACATTAAGTGGATTTGTCTGCAGTGTACTGTAAATGCCATCTCTTGCAGATTTATATACTTCATTCATATGCTCAATTAACATTCTAAAGTATTAAAAATACAAAGAAAATACTAAGCAGGCATTTATAGCAATACTATGAAATCTCCAATAATTGTTGACTATTGCCTTTTGCTCTTTAGTGCAACTTTCTGCATTATTTTGTTGCTTTTTCTCTTTTTATCATTTCACACTCCTGACTTAAATACTTGTTCACCCAATATTGCACTCACCTTTCTTATTGTACATGCAATGTAACAACACACAGTTTTGGTGCTTAACAATATTCTTTTTTTTCTTTAATAAAGGATATTTATTTGAATTAACTTGATTTGTTTGTTTAAACACATTGATAGTATTTTCAGAAAGGAGCACACCAATATTGCACTTTTGTTTTTTAAAGATGTATTTATTATGTATACAGTGTTCTTCCTGTATGTGTGCCTGCACACCAGAAGAAGGCATCAGATCTCATTATAGATGGTTGTGAGCCACCTTGTGGGTGCTGGGAATTGAACTCAGGGCCTCTGGAAGAGCAGCCAGTGCATTTAACCTCTGAGCCATCTCTCCAGCCCCCAATATTTCTCATTTTAAATAGTATTCATTATATTAGTTACCTCCTGCGGTGACTAAATACCTTGAGAAGAGACAACAGGGAGAGGATTTATTCTGACTTAGAGTTCTGGGGACTACATGCATGACAGCATGGTGGTGAAGCCAAGCACCCTTGTGTTCGGCTTGCTTTCTTCTCATTCAGTCCAGGTAACCGTGGTGGTGTCCCCACATTCACAGTAGGCCTTTCTTCCTCGGTCACACCTTTCCAAAAACACCCGCATAGATATTTCCAGTGCTGTGTTTCCATGGTGAGTGAAGTCCAGTAAAGTTGATGATTCACGATAAAGCATCTCAGTTCCATAGACCCTGAGACATGGGCTATCCATGGCTGAACTGCTTCTTCCTGGATGCTGTTGAGGATTTCCATGGCAGCTTTATTTGCGCTGTTTATTATATGTACTGTTTGTACACATGTACAAAGCTTGAACATGCTTCCCCAAACTTGAGTTTGTTTTTAGGAGTTTGTTCGTGATTATCTAAATTGAGAGAGGTTGACCTCATACTTGGAAAGCCCTAACTAGAGGCCAGCAGACACTGGCCAGTTTCTGTCCGCATAGTTTAATAGCATGAACAAGTGAAAAGCTACTCATCCCCCCAGGGCATGGAACGTGGGTTGGCAACAGATGTTTTGTGTAATTGAGTACTAGATTCTGTCAGAATTTGGGATAGCAGTCTGAGGCAGAAGAGTCTAGCTTCCTGGAATACAGCCCTGCACAGAGCCTTGCTGTGGTTTCTGAGGTCGGTTTTGTCCAGTGGGTAGCAATTGCTCATAAATGGATCTCTTCATTTATCTAAACCTCTGATAGGCAGGTTTTCCAGCCATTCAATTCCTCACTGTCTGTTCTCCCCCAGGCCAGGCTTGACCCCCTATTCAGACACAGGTTAGCTTCTCTTTACACACAGGGCCCAGCTCTATAGTCTTTGAGCCTGGATAGAACTCTGCAACTCCCTAAAACAATCAGAAGAGGTAGCCATGCTGTTTTGTGCTCAGTACCTGGAATGTTCTCTTGCCTGGCTGACTTAACTTTCTCATTATCTAAGCTTTGGAAACACCTGGAATATGGGCCTGCTCACTCCCCAGCTCATCCCAGCCTTGTGAATATTAAACTTTGGCTTTCCTGATGACTGAACCAAAAAGTCTTAACCCCCCTCTCCACACCCTTTCCCATGACTCGGTAATTATGCTGGACAGTGGATTTCTTCTGCTCTGTGACTTCTTGGCTCACTAGGGCTGTGTCCAGCTTCTCTGATCTAAAAATGGCTCCCCTGAACTCTATCCCTGTCAAAGTGAACCTGGCTAGATCTCTCCACTTCTTCCCATCTTCACATCTCACAAGCAATTGCCCTTAGACCTTTCAGTCCCTGCCCACATCCCACCCTCTGTCTTACTGAAGCTGACTCTGACTTCTGTCTGGCAGACGGCCTGGCTAGACCATCTTTCAGCTGTTCTTTGGCATGGGCTTTCATGCGGTCTCTGCACTGCCGGCCTTGCCTATGCGTGCCTTTGCACAGTTGCTTCTCCCCTGTGTTGCTCTTGACTAGACGACAGGATTTCTGTGGACTTTTATTGCTGGAGCTCTATGCAAAGTGTCTCTTCCTAGCACTGTCCATGTCCCCTCTTCCCGACAGTGTGACCAACATTGTATGTCTCAGTATATAGTCATGTCCTAAAGCCTTGTATCTGAGCACATGTGCTCAGGTTTTTTATTGAAAGGGAAAGGATTGCTATAAATCATTCCCTTGCTGACTTCATAAGGAGCCAGTCCTGCAGACATCTGACTTTGCCCTTTTAGAATTGCGAGATGTCAAGCCGCCAGCCTTTGACAGCTGGATCCAGCAACCCTAGCAAACCAAGGTAGCATCTGTCAGGTTTCCACCATGGTTACTCAAGTCTGCCCTGTTACTGTGTCTGCCAGTATGATGAATCCAAACCAACCAGTAGTCCCACCAGGTGCCCCTGTACTTGCTCTCAGAGGAGCCAGGTAACTGGACCCAGTGGATGAGAAGCAGTAACACTGGTCTCCTGCCTGGAAAATGCAGATCTGCTACGGGAAGTAGTGGAGACTTTTTTGAGATGGCAAAGACGAGGACATTATCACCGATTCGTCCGAGTTGCTTCTGTTAAGAGCTAGGCAAGAAAGCAAGGAAAAGACAGGAAACACTTGGCGAGGCTGTGTGGAGAACTCAAAAGTACCCAAACTACCATAGTTAACAGTTATGTTAAAGTATAAATACCTCAGTGCTACTAGATATGACATAAAGAGTTAAACATGCTAAAAATGTCATTCGAGAAGTGAGGAAAAACAATACAAAAGAAAAAAATTGGCATGACAAGCTAAAGAAATCCAAATGCTAGTGCACCTATGGGAAAGTAGTTGACCTCAGTAACTAGAGTTCACACTGGAAACCAAGACACGTGCTCATGAGTTGTTACACTTTAGACTGGTAATTCCAAGTGTAGACAAGTCTTGGACTTGTTAGACTTGTTTAGACTGGTAATTCCAAGTGTAGACAAGTTCACCCACAATGGTTCTATAATTGGGCACGGCAATGGAAAATTACAGGATATCCACAAAGACTAGCCAGGATGTTCTCTTGAGACACAATAACTTATGTAGTGCATGTGTGTAGAATCAAATCAGACGAGGGCTCGTGGTAGCAATCTGTAAGAGCCAACAACTAAAGATAACCCAGGGCTCTATCAACAGGTAGGTGAACAAATTGTAGTCTTCAAATGTGAATGCACTTAGTGGGGACAGCAACAGGAAAGGCGCAGCCTAGAAGGCAACTTGAGGAATCTTACTAAGCAAAACAAAGCCACAAGTACACATATACTTCTAGTCATGGAAGTTAAATACAGGCAAAACTAAACTAGTGTTTGGGGTGTTATTCAAATAGTAAAATTATAAAGAAAAGAAAGTGGTTGCTATAGAAATCACAGTTGTCACCTTTAAAGCAAAGTACTAGGAGGCGAACAGACCCAAGCCATCTGTAGACTGTCAGATTGCCTCAGATGGTGGTTTGATATGGGGTCAATAACCTGTTTGATTGGGTCTATGCATTTTAAAAATAAGTATTACATGTTGTGCCTTTCTAAAATGTTCTCTTAGAATGACAGAAAATTGCTTCTAGAATTCAGTTGCCTCTGTCTTTTGAACTGCAAAATAATTTGCAAGCTCAAAACCCAGAGAACCATAGGTGCTGCAAACACGAGAACCATGGCTGCTGCAAACACGAGAACCATGGCTGCTGCAAACACGAGAACCATGGCTGCTGCAAACACGAGAACCATGGCTGCTGCAAACCTGAGAACCATGGCTGCTGCAAACACGAGAACCATGGCTGCTGCAAACACGAGAACCATGGCTGCTGCAAACACGGGAACCATGGCTGCTTTACTTTGATTAGCTGGCAGAAGCAGGGCCGAATTCAGAGCTCTGGTAGCCTTAGGGCAGTGCAGGCTTCTGGAAAGTTTCCCTGTTTTACTAGCTCTATGGAGGGTTTAATTCCTGCTATGGGTTTTGTTTTGTTTTAATATGCAGATTTGAAGTAGGTGAGATTTTTAAGAACAAAATCTGCTTTAAGGAGTGAGGACACCTGAGGCCTAGTCCTGCAGCTCAGTGGTGTGAGGCACCAAGAGCTCATCTGTCTCCTGGCTGTGATGGGATCTGAGAACCCCGAAAGCCACAACAGAGTCCTGGCACACAGGACTGCTTGACATCACCTGGAAGATAGTTCAGAAGTAAACACATCCATGACTAGAAAGACGCCTTGTGATTGTGAGAAAGCCGCAGTTAGTGTTGGTTTCCACAAAATGAACACTATCAGTCACATTTTAAATGAATAAAAGATCCATAACTTTGACTCTGTGGAAGGAATTGAGTGCAGACATTCACACACCATCTAGTGGGCCTTAAAAGTCATCCTGTAGAAACAGCTCCAAAGAAAAGTCCATGGGTTGCTATTTGTGGAGGGATGTTGATGGAATGACAAAGCTGGCTTCCCACCCCACTGCTCTATCCTAAAGTCACTGTCACACACTGTACAGCCTCCAGTGTTCCTGTAGAGCAAGAACGGGCTACTTAGAGGCACTGTTAGAAGTCTCCACACCACGGATAAGACCAAAACATGATGAAAGTAACTAAAAAAGAACAACAAAAACAAAACTCAATTCAGAAACTGGGAAGTTAAAAATCATGTATCTAAAAAAATGATAAAATAATCCATGAAACAATGTGTTGTGCTAATAAGACCAAAGGGGAAGGCGTGGAAACCAGATCTATGGTAGCTAAGACTACAAAGTTGGGCATGGGCCAGGCATAGTGACACACCTTTATTCCTAGCAAGAGGAAGGCAGAGGCAGAAGGATCTCTGGGTTGAGCTCAGTCTGGTCTATGTAACGAGTTCCAGGCCAGCCAGAATTCCATGGTGAAACCCAGGCTTGACACTGAATAGCTGAAGAAATGCAAGCTGGCCAGAGTGGACAATGGACAATTTGGAGGACTAGTCCCACCAGGGTACATCTCAATCCTGCCTGGAAGAGGAGAGAAAGGACTAGGGGGTGCAATGATCAGAAGCAGCACTGTCAGCTGCTTCCTGTCTTTGTTTGAAAGAATTCAAGTTGGGATTGCTTTCCTACTTAACAAGTTACCCGAGGAACACTCCAGGAGGTGAGGACTTCAGAGTGCTCCCAGGGAGAGCCATACA